AAAAAGATTTTCTCTGCCGCAGCTAATCTTAGTTTGTTATAATATATTTGCTGCCGTAACTATAAATTTATAAACTACAGCGAAATGGTTTGCTGTTGCTGCTATAATATAGCTATCACAGCTAAGACATTAACTATAATACCTATATTTTAGCTGTCCATATTTTACATCTGCCATTTAGTTACCACGTGCAGTTTTTAGTTACGACAGCTACTTTTTTTTCCGTGTATAGATCGTTCATATTTTACTAAACAATCTGATTATTATATTTTTAGGCTAACGTTTTTCAGGTTAATTCAACTAATTTTATAAATATAGACTTCTATCCTGTTTTCTAGAAAAATGGAATAATCCCGATTGTAATCCACTGGAAACAATTCCATAATATGTGCCCTTTTTTTATAATCGCGCGATTGCCAAGAAACGCTCGACTAAAATGATGAAGTAGTTCGATAGATGAATTCTGCGAATCCATCGAGTTTGATTTGACATTTATAAGACGTCGTGATTATTGCGATTTTCTTCAGTGGAAGAATTTCATAAGCTTGTGTTGAGATACTTTCTCAGATTCCGTATTTCGTAGAGGATTGCAGTCAATTCTATCCGTTTCTCAATTGAATAGTTTAATTTAAAGCTAAAACTTTTAGCTGATTTCTGTAAAATACGATGATTAAAGTTTCTAAGTTTTAAGTTTCGTATATAACTTTATGCTAAATGTTTTACTTGAAGCGAATTTGAGTTAAAATTCAACATAAAAGACGAGTCGATCTAAAATCAAACAATTATTTTAAACTTTTTTGAAATATTTTGACATTTTTAGGAGTGACACTTAGGTAACAATAAAAAAAATTTCTTTTGTTTCTATTTTCACATGTATGTTTTTTTCTTATACGTTCGAGCAACTCGAATTAGTTTAGATTTCGCGTTCAGACAAATTTACGTAACTGCGCTTGTGTCTTTTTTCATAATCGTATAACGTTGTGTTCGATTTGGATTTTATCGTGTCGATCGAGCACAGATCAAACGAACAAAATTGCCCATTTCTAAATGCACGCGATGTCTGGCGGCGTCCAACAAATCGCTGAAAACACGAATTTATTTTGATCGGTTGCAAAGCTCATTCATCCCTTCTCGATGTTCGGTGCTCCACCTACCGTGGATTAATCTCCCCTTCCTCCCTCTTCTATATCAGATCAGAAATTGACCCGAATCAAACTTTATGTCCAACTGCGCCTTTTATCCTGAGCTCCGTCACTTAATTGTCGTGTTTCTACCTTTATTTATATTATATTTCTACCTTTATATCTAAGACCAGTATTATGGAGACACTTTTAAAATGCCAAGGATCCAGATGTTTCATGTTTATTCACATTCCTCTTCTTTTTACAGTTCCAATTAGTTACAGGACATGAAACTCATCGAGACACTCTCAAGACACTTGAAACATCTTTATTCCTTCGCATGTAGAATCGAATAGAACAGAACGATCTGAAATATAACATATTCAAAAAGAGACACACGTGGGTGCATTTTTTTGAAATTGATAAGATCCTTTGAAGTCTTGTCCTTGTGCAAGCTTCTTCATTCGTCTCCCTCAACATTTCCTTTGTCAGATTCGTCGTCGTATTTCCAACAATGAACTGTATTGGGACGCGAAATTGGCAGCGTCGATATTAAATCCCGCCAGATTTATGGCAGCGTCTCACGAAGAGAAAAACTATCGCCCTTCGACGGAAGTTCGTTGGCCAATACACCTCACTGTTATCGCCGCGAACAAAAGATTGGAGAAATTAAAACTTCAAACGCTCGCGTGATCCGTTCTCCAATCGTTCATTATGGTATAATTCGCGAGCGATTACACGTCTCATCTGTAAACGTCCCAAAGTTTCTCGAGTTACTATTTCGGTTATTTCCGTAATAACACAGTAAATCGCAATATTAATTTAGCAGTGAATAATCGCGCGACTATGAACTGTGAAGATTACAGAATCGAACAAGTGATAATAAAAATGATAAAACGGTTTTACGTCAGCATGAAATAAAAGTTGACGTGACGTGACGAGAAGCGCGTTCGAGAATAAATTTTAATATTTGTTTTATAAGTAGCCGCTTTGCATAATAACTTCTCGCAACTTTCTCGAAACTCCATGTCTTTTTTTTTTAGTATTGTGCGATCATGAAATTAAAAATCCGCACCTCTGGCTGATCAGTTTGACGACTTTGAGTGCATATATTGTATATAATTTAGCACGAGAAATCAGTTCTGTTGGGATCTCTATGGTGACCAGCCTTCTCTCTCTATTGCATAAATAAGAAATTCATGGTAGGTGGAACGTCGCGAACTCAATTATCTGTTCGCCAAGTTAGAAAGGCGTAGGGAAAAGCAAAGCCGAGTGGAGAAGCGAAAAATCGATGTCTCCACAGAAGATCGAACGGACAACGACTGTACAAATGCGATTAACTATTGAAATAAAACTGACCTAAAAATTCCCAATTCTTGTAGTGTGTGAATCGAAGTAAGGCATTTCTATTATTTCTGATGACAAAGTAATTTCGGTGGCAGTCGTTCGATCGTCAGTCATCGTTAGAAGGAAATAAATTAAGTAAATGTTCCTTATTGATTTATAAAATGCTTACACATTAGTATATAATAATATTAAATTGATTCTTAATTTGAAGATGAGATATTACGTTCTCTTTTTTGGCACATCTATTTTTCAAAACCGATTAATAATTGACGCCTGATTCATAAGCGCAAAGACGAAATGTATAAAATTTTCAAAGATTATTGTAACATTTCCCTTGATAACCGAAAATGTTATTTATTTTGTATAAAATAGAAGAAAATATTAAATCTAATAACATCTAATATCGTTAAATCTAATAACGTCTAATGTCGTTAAAAATAAAAATGAAATATTTAATTCCTCTACACTTTTTCGTAAAGTAAAATAATCTGAAATAATCGCAATTTCTTATATTTCTTAATATAGATCGTGAAAAATAATCCGTCGCAAGAAATATCGTCGAATAAGATACACACCCCGAAAAATGTGCTCTTGATGAACACACCCTTTAATGTTATCTCTTCAAGAGTCATCGATTACGTTTTTGTTATCGCAGGCACGTCCGTTCGCTCTTTTCAGCCTAACCTACCTTTTCAATCACTTGGGCACTCTCGAGTTAGTTCGACTGAAATAGCCACTATCGAGTACAAGCGACCGAGTTGCGTTGCACTGATTATGAGAGAAAAATTTTTGTATTTGTAACTATAATTACATGTTATAATTATGATTATTATTACTTTAATATTAGTACCTGACAGTAACTATTTATAGTTCTATCAACAAATATATATATATATATGTATATATATATTTGACAACCGAAAATGACTATAATTATATTATAATAAATACCGAAATTACCACACACAAAAATCGTTGAAATTATTATAATTTATAGAAATTGCAACCATTTTTATGATAATAATGACTATAATTATAGTCATTTTCAGTTACCAACTGAATATATTTGTTGACATAACTATACACATAATTATTATTACTTACATTATATAATAGCAGTAATAATTATAATTACAGTAACATGTAATTACAGTAACAAATACAAATTTTTCTCAGTGCGTGGATGCATCGCACGGCGAATCCATCGAATCGAAACAATTAACCGCGATGTTGCATGATGATGGGCAGTTTATGATGTCTAATTTGTGACTCGATATACTATGATTGAGTCTATACTTCGATTCTGTAACTCTTAACGATAGTCTCGAATCATTATATTGTTGTTGCGTAGATATTATACAATACATGATAAAATTAACTTGCGCAACGATAACATACTGTCGTTAAAAGTTACGTTTAGAATCGGAGTACTGCAGGAGTTCCTTTTTTTCATCAGGCATTTATAAGCACTTATGCTTATGACGTGACAGCCAGATTAAAACTTCGGAATTAAATTAATGTTTCGAATTCTCGTCGATTAATAAAGATTGTCGAGCTCGTAGCGTATGATTTTTGCTGAACCAGTTTCTGAAAGATGCCCGGAGGAATTTTCTTATTGGGTGCTTTCGAACAAGCGACATAGTGTATACATATATCATATAGTAATCATATCATTTAACATTAGCAAACAAGGATATTGTTGATGAATAATTCACTGTGTCATCTGTGTCTCTTGCTGGAACGCATCAATCGTCAATCGCTTACATTGAAAAGTTACTGCAGCATATAAATCTTACACGTCACACATTATAGTATCTTCTTGATTAATGTAATATTTATAACGGAATTTATAACGGTTTGACATTTCAGCAAAAAATATCCGAGATAATAAGAAGGCACGCGCGATTTAATTATTTATTGGCTCTGTGATATGCGGAATGAACTCTCTCGTACTTTAAACGCCCACGTGCTCTTGCGTGACACATATGCGCCGCAGATCATTTGGATAATTGAAGAGGAAATAGGTGCGCGTTGTATTTTGTCAAATTGGCCATTATCTTCTCGGTATCTGTGGAGGCAGCTTTGTTATTCGAGCGCGAGCCCCCGCGCTCTTCATGCTCGTGCCGGGTCGAACTGTATCGATGACACGACGTGTTATAACGGCAGTAATTTCACCGTTTTCCATATTGATCAATCTCGTGATATAGGCGCAGCGACGGTGACGGGAACCGGGATTTCGAGTCACCGAGCACGCTAATATATTCCCCGCGAAACGCGCCGAGTACATTTTCGATAGATTTACGACGACGACGCTTGATGGAATAACTGATCGGGTTTGCCTACTCTCGGCTCGGGAATCTCTCCGGAAATTTCAGGGATCTCCGGGTTCCCTCGGATTTTCAAATGGAAATATCTTTACGCGACATATTCGCTTGTGTATTTTCTCTTCTGCGCTTTTATCGGTCTCTCGGAAAGGATGTCATCGCACGATAAACCATTGCTGATGAGAAAAATCGATCCTTTCTGTTTCAGCGTTCGGAGCGTCATGCACAGATATCTGGAGAAGAATAATGAAGTAAACTTCGACAAAATATTTAATCAAATGTTAGGTGAGTAAGCTATCGCTTCGATAGTCCGCCCTTCGTTTACCACTCTCTCGTCCCATCGCTCTTTGACGAGATCAAAGACAAAGGGAGAGGCTTAGATTTAGTTCGTAAAATCGCCCAATAAATTCGCCCAACTCATCCAATCTAATTGCGCAGCGAGGAGAATCTTCTCTCAACGTTTGCGTTTTTATCTCTCTGTTCTGTAGTACAATCCAATTATATATAGACTTCAGATATCGGCATATTGCCTCTCCTTCTCTTTCATTCTCTCTCTCTCTCTCTCTCTCTCTCTCTCTCTCTCTCGTTCTCTTCATTCGACACAATCATACGAAATGCGTGCATATATTCATATAGATAAACACAGTCGCGGTTTGTCGATTAATTCTTGCAACTTGTTTCGTGCCGTAAATTTCGGAGATTTTCAACATAACGCGGCAACGCGAGCGTAAATATTCGTCCATGCAAAAAAATTTCACCGAAGCCATTGCACACCGAAGCCAATCCCCCGATCGACAGTCTCGTTTATGAATTGCTAATTACGTATTCTATTGTTCGTAAAACGTTATTCAATTTCAAGCATCAATTAAATTGTTATCTCCCAAATTAATTGTCAATAATGTGATCGAATAATATACATTCGATTTCCCGTCACAAAACGAAACGTGCCATTTGATCACCGGCTTGAGATGACCTGGAAAAACTTGATCCCTTTGGCGGGACCGCGCCAATTTACACGGATGATTCGTCTCTCTGTCACACCAGTTGTTATTATTATTTTTTTTTTCCCCGCGAAAGTAGTAAAACGGCATTAAATGTAGCGAGAGCTGTGATAATTTACTGAAAGTTCGCTGATGTCAAGCAAACTCCACATGTACTTCCAGGTTACCTTTTATTCAAAGACTTCTGCGAGACTGTAGCGGAGGAACCGATTCCGCAACTTAGGTTTTACGAAGAGGTTCGTGTTTTTTAGCCCGCATACACTACATATATATATATAGTTAATTCCAGTAGCGTCGCATATATACCACACACTGCTGGCCCGACTGCATACAGGAATTTTTATTTGTGCATTGTAGATCAAGGCGTACGAGAAGCTCGAATGTCCGGAAGAAAGGAGAAAACTTGCCCGTGAAATCTACGACAATTACATTATGAAAGAATTACTGTCGCATTCTCATGTGAGTATATATAGACACGATACTACGAATTCCATTTTATTCCGTAATAATAATTGGAGAAGAATTTTCTCTTTCCATCTTTCTTCTCCTTTATATATTATATATATCATTTTTTAATGAATGGCGACGCGCCTATCTTTTGCAGGAATATTCGCAAGAGGCGGTAGCTCACGTGCACAAATATCTTATGAAAAATGAAGTCCCAGTTGACTTATTTGAGGTAGGTCGTTGTCTTGTGACCTTATCTACGCGTACGTAATTGATATTCGTGACTAACGAAATTTCTTCTATTTTTGTTTGTTTGTAGCCGTACATCGAGGAGATATTTAATCATTTGCGAGGGGAACCGTTTCAAAAATTTTTGGAAAGGTACAAATGACATTCTGACAATTTTTTGCGAATAAATTTGTGTGACGTAGTTTGTGATTAAAAGAAAAATTATATATGTTTCTAGCGATAAGTACACCCGTTTCTGCCAATGGAAAAACTTGGAGTTGAACATCCAGGTACGGATAAATCAATATTTCATTTTGCTCTCTTTTTTTCAAGAATGGAATTTTCAAGATTAAATTATCACGCGTTTTATAACGGAAATTGCAGCTGACGATGAACGACTTCAGTGTGCATCGAATAATAGGCAGGGGCGGCTTCGGCGAGGTGTATGGTTGCCGGAAAGCGGACACTGGCAAGATGTATGCCATGAAATGTCTAGATAAAAAGCGCATTAAGATGAAGCAAGGTGAAACGTTAGCTCTCAACGAGAGAACGATGCTTTCGATAGTCAGCACCGGGGTAAGAGACTTGTTTTTTTTCTCTTTTATCAAAAACAATGCCTTCAAATTTAAATCACGATGACGATAGTACGATGTGACATAAAAAAGCATTGTCATCGCAGATGGACTGCCCATTCATAGTGTGTATGACGTATGCGTTTCACACCGTCGACAAGCTGTGCTTCATATTGGATCTGATGAACGGTGGCGATCTGCATTATCATCTAAATCAACGCGGAATCTTTACTGAGCCGGAAGTGAAATTCTACGCTGCGGAAATGCTCCTCGGCCTGGAACACATGCATAGTAGGTACATCGTTTACCGTGATCTGAAGCCAGCGAATATATTGCTGGACGAGCACGGTCACATTAGGATATCGGATCTGGGATTGGCAGTCGATTTCTTAAAGAAAAGGCCGCACTCAAGCGTGTATGTATATATAGCTGAAATTCGATCGAATTTTTCCACGTGTAACGCAATGCTCGGAATATATAATACTCTTCGTTCTGTAACAGTGGCACGCATGGATACATGGCGCCGGAGGTGATTGCGAAGAACACCCCATATGATTCGAGTGCGGACTGGTTTTCCTTCGGTTGCGTAATATTCAAGCTCTTGATGGGACGTAGTCCGTTCAGGCACCTAAACACCAAGGATAAACACGAGATAGATCGTATGACGCTGAATATGGTATGTTGCTTTAACATTTCTGGTCGTTCACTGCATTACATATATCCGATGATGATGATATGTCAAAAGCGAAAATTTACATAAATCTTTTTGTCGAACTAAATTACGTATTTTTATATGTGCTGCCATTTGTGTTGAATAGAATAGGTCTGTAAAATATTTCAGACTTTTTCTGGTGAATTAATAGACGGCTATAAATCTCAGTTAACTTGTATAAGATTTTCTTCGGAAAAGTAAGATATAAATTGCATTTTGATTATTCATTATTTATTAATGGAAAGACAAAAATATATATATATATATAAAATTTTATATTTAATTTATATTGATTTGTAATTTAACTTAAAAAAGTTACGTGGCTTTTCGCTTTTGACATCACAATCCAATGTGAATGTAGTGAACGATCAGAAGATTCAAGACAATTTCCTAGAGGTCTCTCGAGGAACTTATACACATGAAGATTTAATTTAATTTTTTTAATCAAGCAAAACGTCTCCAGCCTTGGAATACCGGAGACGTTGTCGCCGGAGATGCAGTCGCTGTTAGAAGGTTTACTACAACGGGAGGTCAGCAAAAGACTCGGCTGCCGTGGCAACGGCGCGAACGAGATAAAGGCGCACCCGTTTTTCAGTGGTATCGATTGGCAACAGGTGTATCTGCTAAAGTACACGCCGCCATTAATACCGCCGCGCGGCGAGGTCAACGCCGCGGATGCCTTCGACATCGGCTCCTTCGATGAAGAAGATACAAAAGGAATCAAGCTGACGGATGCGGATCAAGAACTCTACAAAAACTTTTCTACAGTCATCTCCGAAAGATGGCAGGCTGAAGTGGCCGAGACTGTGTTCGAGACAATCAATAACGAAGCGGACAAGGTAAGAGATAAATATTTCATTTAACTGCCTATAATAACTTCATGATTATCGAGTCTTTACTAACATAAAGATTTTGCTTTGTCTTGTCCTTATAGATGGAAAATAAAAAGAAGGCGAAACAAAAACAGCGATTTGATACAGATGAGAAAGGTAAGCGTATTGCATATCACATGGATACTTTAGAATCTAAATGGAATTGTGATTCTTACATTAACCATTTGTACTTACAGGTTCGGATTGTATATTACACGGTTATATAAAGAAATTAGGAGGTCCATTCGCGAGCGCATGGCAGACGCGCTACGCAAAACTATATCCAAATCGGTTAGAGTTACATCCGGAATCAGCGACTAAGCCTGAACTTGTATTTCTTGATCAAGTAAGTACATCGTGTACTGGAGAAAAATATTGAAGGGGATAAGAAATTCAAATTATGGTTTTCAAAATATATAATATCGTATCTCTCTCTCTCATACTTGATATACATTTCCTCATTCGAGAAAAGGGGTAATTATGCAATGTAAAATATCTTTTAGGTCGAGGAAGTAGGAGCGGATCTGCAACTGGTAAAGGGGGAACAATGCATCGTAATGCGTACAAAGGATGCAAAGATCGTACTTACAAATGCCGTAAGTGAATCTTTCACTGTCTCTGTAGATAATACTTTATAATAAAGTGTAGCGATTAGAGCTCAAACAAATGACTTCAACTGCATAATCTAACTATTCAAACAATTTAAAGTAAAAATGTTCGCATTTCAATTTCGGATAATTCGTATAATTCGAATGGCGTTAATAAAGACATTAATCAGATCTTAGCATAGAACCTCGAAAGATCTGAGAGATTTAAGATTATTCTCAAGTAGGAAGTTTGAACTATCTATTGAATGATCGTGTTCGAATTATCTGATCATTGAAAAGTTAGAGCATTAAGTTTCGAACACTACTAATAATGATAATTGATTCGTTATAGGACGAGATAAGCTTGAAAGAATGGGCACTCTCGTTGAGATCGGCACATAAATGCTCAATGGAGATGCTCGGAAATATGGCGAGAAAAGCAGGCAAGATCTACGGGACTGAGCGGGACGCAGTGATCCCGGCGACGCAGCGGTCGACAAACGGCAACTAGCCCCTTGTCGTCATGTGCGACGTCGCACCGTCATACTTCAGTCCCACTGCCCCGCAGCAGCGACAGCAGCAACAACTTTTTTTATACTAAACCGATGATGGGGAAAGCAGCGATGGATAGAAGAAAAGGATTTAAGCAGAACGGAATGGCAATACAGGTAGTGCCACTTCCTTCTGAAAGCTCGCTCTGAATTTTAACGCTACGACGTTAAAAAAAAGCGGCTAAATCCCTCTTTTTGGCACACCTCGATCAAACGGAACGTCCCAAAGAAAATTTCGTTATACGGCGGATAGCGCTGCGCTGTGTATTATAGATACTTTAGTCAAGTAGTGTCGTATCGTGCGTACGTTCTCCCAGGGCCATGAGGATAATGCGCGCGCGCCCATACACACACACACACACACACACAAACACACACACATACATTTACACAAACGTACACTTACACATAAAACAATACATACATATACGCAAGTAATTGCGGCTCCTTCTGGTCACTGACGCGGGCGCGTAGGCATCTCGTTATATTTGTACATTAGTTATATGTGCAATATGTGACGTAGCGACTAGCGACCGACCGAGCGACGAACAAAAATTGACAGATAACACACGGGAAAACATGAAATACATCCGGTAGTGTATTATTATGACCTAGTACTCTCTACACGATCCCGTATTCTTATTATTTTCTACGCGTTTCGTCATATCGCTCGTTTACTTAATTTATTTACTAATGTAGAGAGAGAAAGAGAGAAAGACCAGTTTTATATTATCCTTACGAAGCAAAAGTGACCGATTATTTATTGTGTTGTTAAGTGCGAGAGAATGAGAGACGAAAAATAAGAAAACTTTGTTTGTATATTAACCAAAAATGACTCGAATACCGAATGCATGCAACATATGTACGCTCGAGTGGATATATGCGAGTCCGCTCCGGCAATAAAATATGCGATGAACGTAGATGAGAAGAGCTTTTTTTCGTCCTGCATCATGTGTAGATCAACACTAAAAATTCAGTAAGTATTTGTGATCTCCATTACGTTATGTTTTGAACAGATCGTAATCTTTACGTAATCGTGATCGAACGATGTGCGAAATTAACAAATGTTCGATTTAGCAGTTATATGACAAAGAATTACATATCAATGTCACGAATGAATTGATCCATGGTCCATTTTTTATATCGTAATAATCGAAATTTGGTACATTTTTGAAAGATAGATTTTATTTCGATAATCACATTTATTAATCAAATAACAGTTAGCATTCTGTAATAGTTTTCATTCGTGAGATTTACATACAAATTAATACTCATAATTTATGTACGCGTGTTTGCTTGAAACTATTTAATATTCGCTGCGCACTTTTCGTCGAGATATATATTATCTAGGGATCGTTTGTAGAACCATGAAAAAATTTTATTTTCTAGGCTTACATCAAATAATTATGACGTATTAAACTCATCGTAAGATTTACACGATACGAACATTATAATTAGCGATCACTGTGATAAAGAAAAAGAGAGTATATATAATAAGAAACACGTTATATTCTATCTATCACGAATCTCCTTCAACAACAATGTCAACGTGAAATCTACCGATCTGGCTGATTTGAGTCTTCGTTCCAGAGCTTCGAAGTCTGTTCTCTCAAGCCACGTTGGCGGATCAGTCTCCCTCGATGGCAAAGGACACAGCAGCCTTTCGACAGCGGCGCATAATCCGCACCACTCCCTAAATCCCAACGGCTGCGTTATATCTCCTATCACAGACTTTATATAAGATCGCTGCTCATCCGTCAATGCCTTCCCAACCACTTCCCGAAGAGCTTCTTCAACATCGCTCGGTGAAATACATCGCGCGCTATGCAACGCCTCCTCGTTAAATTTATTAAATATTCGACCGAATATTAATTTTCTTCCCGACGTGACGTAGGCGTGTTTACTGAGGTACTGAAGTGACGTTAAACCTGTAACGATTACGTTGTCATGAGTTCCAATCGATGAGATAAAATAGGAAAAGGTATTATATAGCGTATGATGTATTATAAATTCTAAAATATAGAAGCTTCAAGAAATAATGGCTTGCGGGAACGTTCTGTTTAATAATTTTTACTTGTTTTAGTAGAATCACATATTAGAGTATCGATACGTATTAATCAATCGTGCGGCATACCACAAAGACTTTGACTGTCGAGCAATTCAAATCGCGCTGCTTGACGGGAGAATATCCGAGGAGCGTTTTCCACCGATGGACTGGCACTGGTTTGACGAGATCCCCGCAAAGTATATGCATCACCTTTCACCCGTAACGCTTCTTCTAAAGCGATTCGTCTCTAAAACAATTAAATTATTTATAGAAAAGATTTTTATTGGCCGAAGGCAATAGAAGATCAGCGTCTACCTTGATTGAGAATTCCGTCTCCACCTTGTCACGATCTAGCTCTCTGCACAAATGCTTCAATATGTCTGGTTCGAGAAAACTCGGAGGCATCGTGTGACTTGTTGCCTGTGCGGACGTTCTCTTGGGAGACGTCGAGCCATCGACCTCGCCGACGTTTACGTGAAGCCTGTTACAATTCATTGAAGAAAAAACATGATTTTTTTTTTTAAAGAATTAATTTTTAGAGAATTAAGACAAATTAAATTTTTTTTTATTTCTCAGTCGATTATATATTTCCTCATAGTATATACTCGTACATAAACATATAATCTCATGTAGATGTTTAATTTTTATAGATACTGACGACGATCGCCGTGATCCGTTTCCGATCTGCGAAACCTGCGTTACCGTAGGCTCGAGCGGATCGCGAACTTCCGTTTGCTGGCCGTAAGTCGAGCCCCTCCTACACTTTCTTTTACGTAATCGCTTTCCCCGTCTTCGTGTAATTGTCGGTTGCTGCTCGTTGTCGCTGTCGACTTCTTCCTCCGCGTTCCGGGACGAACTCTTTCACCGATATATAAGCGATGGTAGCATTATTTTTCAAATGACGAGAAGTCTCAAATGAGAAAAAGGTACACGTGTAGCTGCCTTTAGAAACGAAATTAACTTACCGTTTCGCATTTTTCAACGATAGGCGAGGAAAGCGACGAAGGAGGTGGCACAGGTATCGCTAACGAATGTTGCGGTCGTAAAGTCGGCTTGCAGATAAATATTTCGCTTTTCCGAGGTGTTGGCGGTAGTTCGAGCGTAAGAGCGTGCCAGCTAAACGTCTCGTTTTCCTAAAACCCAGACAAACTTTCGATAATACTTCTCGAACGGACGTCTCAAATAGAAAGAAATAAGAATCACTTCCTGCAGCTTGAAAAGCTAGTTCAATATGTTGAAAGCGTTTGTGAATATTTTAAGTATTCCTTCAGTATTACAATATCTCTTCGTGGAATATTTGCTCTCATAAATTATTAATTACTTTAATAATTAAAATAAAACTAAATTAATTTTAATTACCTGCAACATGTTACTGCATAAATTTTTAGTTCATTAATTTTCTTTTATATTTTACATCTCTATATAGAAGAAAGGTTTTGTTGAACAAATTAAAAATTAAAAATTTACAGATATAAATCTGAAAATAATTTTATTGGACCATGAAAATAATTATTTACGATGATAATGCTGCGAAAAGTTTTGACATTTTAACAACCAATTTGTTTTACATATAATTATTTTAATAGTCTGTTTAAACTATTTTCAAATTTGTATCCAGCTAAATTTTTTAATCCTTCAACAAAAACTGTTCTTTCGTGTATTCATTTTGTTTATATTTTATTATTTTCATATTATAATAATTTTAATTACCTTCTTTTTTGTATATATTTTATTAGTGCTTTTGAAAGAGAATTCTGTATTTTATCCTAACTACAGCAATTATCTTTGCAATTATTCTTAGATCGCTTTATCGTTTCTCCTTTGATAAGGAAACTTATCTTCGAGCGCAATGAGTCAATCTGTCTACATTGTCTACAACAAAGGCCGAAAGAAAGATTTCATCAGCGGCGACAAATCGTCGGCCGAGACTCTGTATCTGACACCGACCACCTGCTGGTTCTGCGAGCTCGTTCGGAGATCCAGAACCAGGGTGGTGCGCTCGCGCGGATTGCAGGTCACCGGGAAATCTTCCTGGGCTGCGCGACCAGTTAACGCTGTCGGTCCGCTGGCGAGCGTGGGCGCCGGGGTCAAAGGTCGCGAATCGGTTTCCGTGTATTTCCGGAAGAGCTCCTCGGGCACCGCCGAAGCGGACATCTCGGCATTGTAACCATCGCCGCCGCCACCTCCGGCATTTCCAGCTGCGTTCTCGCCACCGCCTCCGCCTGCGCTCACCGCTAATAGGCTCGTCCGTATCATCTCCATCTCCTCCGGCAGCAAAAGTGCTTTTCCTTCGGTTGCCTAATGAAAAATGTATCATAAAAACTGCGCGAGTATCGTTAAATGACACATAATAAACAAAACACACTGTAATTTATAGGAAAGCTGATAACAATTGATTAAATTTCATCCCTAGCTTTCCTAAAATAGTTACCTGTGAATGATAGCTCTATTAATTTAATCACGCGTGGAGTGTTCAGGATACTCCAGTCTCGTAAATTTAAATGCATGAGTATTATTTATATAATTTATTATACATATATATTTGACAAAATTGTTTTATAATTAAAAAAAATGTTTGCAATTGTCTTCATCTAAAGGATGTACAAAATATTATCAATTTTTATTTGATTATAAATCACCAAAGAGAATAAAAATTGAGATATAATGTCGGGGTGCCAGAAACACCCCACGCGAGTAATATAAGATTAATTATTACGGTCCATATATATTACGCGTCCCATATTACTCTTTATATATAAATGTTACTCTTGTTCATGTAGACATATTTTTTACAATATTACACTTATCTTCTCCCTTACGTAAGGTATGAATATTTTACCCATGTGTCCTTAGCTCGTCGAACCACCTCCTTCGCTTCACAATCCGCCGGATGATTGCACAACACCGAGCAACCGTAAGGATAAGGATTAAAGAGGCCGGCAAACGGTCGAAGGGCGAACGGTGCTGCTCGGGTACAACCCGATAATTCCACGCTCTACGTATATATACGTGATCTTTGAATAAATAAAGGGCTGACGTAAAGGGAACGGGGCGCACGTGCGGCGCCCGTCCCAGTTTTGCTAATATTCTTTTCTTTTATTTTCACCTTAGGCTTCGGTCTGCGAATCGGTTGAATTCGCGCGGACAGGAGACCAGTCGCGCTTGCGATCCCAGGCATTCTGATCGGCGATCGCTATGACTCGTTATACTTCGTATATACTTAGTACTTTGCACGCAAATGAGTTGCGCTCCGTCCGTTGGTTACTGCCTTGATACCACATCGGCACGTTGCTACGTGTGACCGATGGGTCGATCGAGGAGAAGTTATGGCTTGCATCCGTGGTTACGCGATCACGTATGTACTTGGCTTGGCCAAGTACTTTACACGACATCGAATTCAAGTCCTGACTTGCCTGAGAAACTAAAATTTCCCACAAAATGTCGATGTACTTACGCAGGTCGTAAGAATGTCGCAGAACGTTTCACTGAGAGAGATTGGTTCAGCAGTACGTTTATTTTGCAATTGTTGGAAGTTTTTTTTCGCTGAAATAACTATACAGTACGCTTTGTTCGAGATAGTCTGGGAACGTTCTTAGGATGTTCATAGAACATATAGAGATGTCTTCTAGACATTTTTAGGACATCCGTTGGAGATCTATATATACTCTATGTGACTATTCCTGTAAATTAATAATATGCAATCTGCAGCCTATGAACCGCATGAGATCCACCTGTGAATTCTTTATGGCCATTAGCTTATAGTCGAAAATATAAAATCATATTTTATGCAAATAAAATAATATATGGCCCGAAAGATTTTACCTATTTCTAAAAATGGCTGTCTGAAAGTGACCCTTAAAAAAAGTTGCATATAACTGTTCTAGATCTAAAAGTATAAGCCAATCAACGAAAAGAAACCGTTTTGCGCTAAACATGACCATTCTGTCCATGACACACAGAAAAACTTATAAATAGTAAGACGTAAAGAAAATCAACATGTTGAATTTGCTACTATTTATATTATGGCCTTACAGTCTCTACTGTGATTGATCAATTCGCTTATTGCTCACGTTTTACTGCTTAAGTTTTCTGTGTGTCATAATCCATACATTGCGTGGCTACTGCCCGTTTCCATTAATATAAATGAACTTTAATCTCAACATACGTTTCATTTTTTTCAATTTTTAGAACTAAAAGAAAATGAAGAGTAAATTGAATCAAGATCAAAAATAATCTATATTGGTAGACATGGACATACATTATTGCTATAATGTTAGAATGCTCGACCTGAAGAAGATGTGAAGTAGGGTGATTGTTTAATAAATTTATTATCTTTACATAATACAACTTTTGCAATTGTAATTTACAACAATGATTCCTTAGATCTTCAACTGCTCGTCCAACCATGGATTGTCCTGCATATGCCCAGGATATTTCTTCTTATATTTTAGACCAGTAACGAGAGTGGAGCTTTTCGGGAACGCCGTTTTACCGTTAAACATTGTATCGGTATCTGAACAGAAAAAAAAAAGGAAATTTTATCGCTGTACAAACACTGACCCGTGGACCGTTGAAAAAACAGCGCGACAGTTCTGTAAATTCCGTGGGACATCTCACCCGGATGGAATCGATGATAATCCTGTTGGATGTGCAAATTCTTGGGTAAATCTATTCTACACAGCGCTTCGTATGGCGTCGTGCTGTCTACCGGTGTCGAATAAAATCGCTTCAGATCCCCTATGTATTCAAAATTCACACTTATTTATTATTGTCGATTGATCGATGCCGTACATCAGGTTGGTGTAAAATATTCGTCATTTCTTATCATCGATCTTTATATTAATAAAAAAAAAAAGAAAACCAAAGGGAGTGCTCGGAAAATGGATCTTTAAATAAATAAGAGGGTATCAAAAGTTGGCCAATTTCGATATTGCTTGGGAATATTTTTTTTTCAGTAATAAATAATGATGAATCTTTGACACTTGATAGATCGAGAAACTTTTTTGTTTGCTAACCGATACTCTCGATGGTGTAAAGCAATGAGTTGGGGATGGAATGCTTAAACTCCCCCTCGCAGGTGACGAACAGTTTAAAGCGAAGAACGAGATCCTCGAGCTTTGTGTCATCGTTCACGGAGATGGATTGACTCTCGCAGATTCGGTCGATTCTCTCAGCTGCGTTTTTCGGGGGTTCGTAAGACTTTTGCGATCTCAGAAATCTGAAAGCAGAATATACGCAATCGCGACTCAATCGCGCCTGATCGATCGTAGATAATAATTCGGTAGCGAGATTTCTTGGTGTGAACTGTCGAATAATTTATGTCTGTTTCTATCTGGTCTAACTTACTTTTTATTTTTTTAGAAATAGATAATTTTTTAGAACTAGAAAAAGAAAGTAAAAAGTAAGTTGAACGAAAAAGTTAATCTACATTATGAAAATGGATATTAAGGGGATCCTAAAACCGCTTGTATTATCGACTAAATCATATAATTTTTGTATGACAAATACTTTTTTTCTCTTTCACAGATTCGAAAATCCTTTTCCAGGATTAAAGTATACACATTAATACGTATTTGTGAGGTGGAGTTTATACCGAGAATAAAAAATTTTTGTTAAGATTTCGATTTCGAAATTTTTTTATTTAGAAGTTTCGAAATACAAAAATTACGACTTAATCGGTAATACAGACGGCTTTAGGATCCGCTTAAAACAAAATAAATCGAATCCCGGTGGTCTTCGCGATGACGTTCAATATCTGTTCAAAAGAAAATTTCGAAATAAGGAGTGAAAAAAAACGATCATTTATATCAACGCCATGAAAGATCTTGTCAATTCGATTCTTGGCGAAAATAAAAATCAGAGTGCAAGTTGAATGCAAGGGGAGAGTAACAGAAGCGTAAACGAAGCTTCTAGGCGAAAATTAAAACATCAAAATGTTTATGCTTCTTTTACATTTCGTTGGATCAATTTTCGTCTTCTAGAAAAAGGGTCGATTATGTATTTTGCAATGAGATGGAAATTTCAAAAGTGAGCAAATTCACTAAGAGTCAACCAAACTATATAAATAAAACTATAAATATTCTAGTAAATTCGCTCACTTGTAATTTTCCCCTCGTTTTAAGATATACGTATTTAACCTCCCGAGGGTTAATTGTAATTTTGAAACGAGGTGAAAATTATAAAAATGAGTAAATTTACTAGGTGTTGATCAATGGAATTATAAGTGTTTTAATAAATTCGTTCACTTTTATAATTTTCACCTCGTTTCGAAAAGCACAATTGACCTCCTGAACACGGTTGCCAGGTCTCCAGATTTCGACTGGAGACTCCAGTTTTCGGGACCAATCTCTAGCAAATGGGAAAAATCTCCAATTTTTCGCTCGCGTGGGGGTATTTATTAATTGCATATTTAAATTACGTGGAAATTAATAAGAAAGTCTGTGATTATGTTCGCAGTTTATGTTATTTTACGAATAATAAAAAAGTTTGTAATTCTGTAATTCGCACTGTATATAATCTTGTAATTATTGTAATAATAATAAAAAGGTCTCTGTGATTGTGTTGACACTTTATGTCGGTCAAATATTAATGACAAAAAGAAAGTCTGTAACAGTGGTCGCAAAACACGAATTAAACCCTGCGCCTTTTTTCCTTCTTTTTTTTTAATGAAACAATCGGCAGGCCTCCAGTCGAAATATGAAATCTCCAGCGCATGGACCTTCGGGCCCAAGCCGTACAGTGCTCGGGACCTGACAACCGTGCTCCTGAAATCAATTGAGAGAGAGAAAGAAAGAGTAAAAAAGATAGATCTCTCCAAAATTGGCCAATGACAACTGCCAGACCTAAACGTTCGGGACTCGCGCACTTTTCGCATCTGGGAAAGGAATTTTGCTCTCTTTTTCTCTCTCGCGCGATGAAATTTGTCGTGACGCGTGAGAGGAAAGGACAAAGGGTCCTGAAAGGGGGGCAGCGGAGAAAGGAGGGGAAGAGATCGATGCCCGCTGACCGTACGGTGCTGCCATCCCGCGTGCTCCCCTTCTCTCATTGGACGGCGCTGAACATCGGCGTATTCGGGACATTCGGGTGCCCCGCACCGAAATTCACAAAACGACGTGGCGGCGGTTCGCTTTCGTAAACAATAATCAATAATCAATCCTGGTATGTCGCGGGTACCGTGCGACGCCGATCGCGACCGACCGCCTTTCCACCTATTCAACATCGTCTTTCCGGGAGAATCGATCTTGTCGACGGCGATCGTCACGGATGACCGGAAGTCACTCCGTCGATTAATCTGTCTGTTAATTGCGAGAAGGGGAGAAATTTAAATGAGAATCTTTTCCGCGATTATATAATATATACAAGCGACGAGTACAACGCGTTCTTCGAGTCGACAAACTCGACCGTATCGAAATTGTTCCTCGCATGTTTCTTCCGCTATTCGATTAGTTGTGACTTTTTGTGTGAAAATAAATGTAGATATTTTTCTGTCGAATCCGACCCTTTTACCTACCATTGCCGCGTCATCCGCCCATCTGGCGCTTTTGAAAAACTCGCGGAAATCGCACGGTCAATTTTTCGCTCGGTAATTCCCCACATTCCCTTTTCTTGTAGTTTAATTTTAATCTTGGTCCGACTCTTTATCTTTTTCTAGTTCTAAGAATTAGAAAAAGATGAAAAATAAGTTAAACCGAGATTAAAGTTAATCTATATCGATAGAAATGGATATAAATCGCGCACAGCGGTATAAATAGATAAATAAAGGCGTTTATTATTGTACAGCAAGCTCTAGTAAGAACATAGAAATAAGAGAAAAGTATAAAAACAGAAACATGCAATTAACGAAATAATATAATAAAAATAAATTAAACTGGTATCAGAAGAGAAAAAAAGATTGACGAAAGACACGAACGTAAAGAAACACTAATAAAAGCGAGTAAGTCGACTCAATCAACAGTCGAATATTCTTCTTCGGTCTTCCGTTTTCTTTCCTTCTATACTATTTTATTTATTTTTAATGTGCTGCGACTTAAAATCGGCATGTAGGTCGGACTTATGTCCATTTCTACCAATTTAGATTAACTTTAATTACAGTGTGACTTACTTTGTATATTTTTCTAATTCTAAGAATTATGCCCATTTCTATCAATGTAGTTTAATCTCGATTCAACTAACCTTATCTTTTTCTACAAATTAGAAAACGATATAGAGCAAATCGATCCAAGATTAAAGTTAATTTACATTGGTAGAAATAGACATCGATGGTCTTTTCCACCGATATAAATTAACATTAATCTCAGTTCAACTTACTCTTCATTTTTTCCAATTGTAAAAATTAGAAAAAGATGAAGAGCAAGTTGATCCGAGATTAAAGTGAATCTCCATCGGTAGAAATGGACATTAACAGTCGGAGCACAGCGTCACGGGGACGAAAGGGGGGAGGGGGGAGAGAAGCGAGGACGCACGGCCCTGAGGACCTGTCAGATTCGTCGGGCGATTGGCTGAGGCGCGGGAGAGTGGTGGTAGGAACGGTTAATATGGCCGCGGTGCGGCCACCGTTAGTCAGGCAGCGCCGCTACGTAACGCAAATTTCACCGTACGGCTGCGCGACGCGAGGCGCTTCGACGTGTCGGACGCGACCGCGCTTACCCGCGGGCGGCGAGCGATTCCCCGGCGGAGTCGATCCGCGCCTTCACCATCACCTTTGGCTTCTTCTGGCTCTTGTGCCGGGCGATTCCGCGACGCGCGGTCACCTGCGGGGAAAAAAAGGGGGAAAAATGACGATCTCGATTAGTGACGCGTGTGCCGTCGCCCACGAACGTGCGACTCGCGCGCGCGACGACGCGAGTGCATAACGTCCGATGGCCGGATGGTGTTTGTGTGTAGGCGCGCGTGCGTCTTGAATATAATTCACTGACCGTGCTGGTGGCGAGGATAGCCGATGTACTTTTAAACGCGCTGGTAAACGAGCCATGCCTGA